CCGCGCCCCCAGGCCATGCGCAGGCCTGTCCCCGGGGCGTCCTCGGGCCCCGAGGCCCCTCGGCTCTCCTGCAGGCCCGGGAGGAATTGCAGGGAACGTGGAGCCTTTTTGTTTCCTAGCAACCTGAGCGAAGGCTGGGGTGTCGAGTGTCAAAACCGGCCGAGGTGCCCGCACCGGCCCGCTCGCCCCGCTCCGCGACCCGCCCCGCTCCCAAGTTTTCCTTTTCCTTTCAGAACCTTGGCCCACCCTTTCCCGATCCAGGAGCTCTTATCTCACTTCACCTTTCATCCCTGCTTCACAGACCATCCTTTAAAGTATTTTCGACGCGTGCAAAATTCAGCGCAGATTAGAATGACCTAGAACGGGTTTGCTCCCTCAAATGTTAGAACTGACAGGATTTCCGGGTATTGAAGTGATAGGTTCCTTTTGTTTTACCCTTTTGCTTATTACTTGGTTACTATAAGGGTGGTGATGAGAAAGACTGCCCTTGTGAGGCATGAACTGAAATGAAGACAGTAACTCTAGGGGTGATGGAGACCGCAGAAGGAGTCGGTGAGGTGGCCTGGTGCTGTTCGATTTGGAATATTTGTAGGAAGAACTTCGATAATTTTATAGACTGCTAAGCTGTCAGTAAGGGTTAGAAGGAACCCTTCTTGTGAAGGTGTAGCACTCTGACAAACCTGGCTGCTGATCAGAATCCCTGGGGAACTTTCAGAGTAAACATACCAATTCCCAGGCTCCATTCCAAACTTACGAAAGAATTTCTGGCAGGTGAGGCCTAGAAATCTCTATTTGAAAAAATACACTCAGGCTTGAAAGTTCTGTGTGCTTGCAAATAGCTGAAGAGGATCAATTTCTCCTTCGACTTGGCGGTAAGTTCTGTAATTTTGTAAAGAATGGGTTGTTGAGTTTGGGGTTCTTAATCACAAACTTCCTTATAGTTGTTTCTTGATAACCACTCTTCTCACTCTGATTCCCTAGTCTTTTTTTGAGGGGGGCATAGGTGATTAGGTTTACTTATTTAATTTTTTTTTCTTAATGGAAGTACTGGGGATTGAACCTAGGACCTTGTGCATGTGCTCTACCACTTGAGCTATACCCTCCCCCTGCTTCAGATCCCGTCTTAACTACACTGTCTGTCTTACTCTATTCTGTCGTGATTGTGCAAGCCCAAAGAATATGTGACTTTTTATAATAGAAGTAAAG